GGTGTTGCTGCGTTCAGCATCTTTGTATCCTGCCTTGGGTGCGTGCGTATGTTTTGATGGCGTGCGTTTGTATCGTGCTGCTATGGATTGTGCTTTATATATAAAGCGGGGCGAAAGCCTTTTTCGATAAAGGACAATAATTTTACGGCTGCGGTTCAAAGGACGGTAATTTACTGTGGCTGCAGTTGAGTGTGTCGAGTAAAGCGAAGGCTGAAAGGACGACATTCTGATTGGAATCAAATGCACAGCTAATGCATATAACGCCAAGCATCCAAACAGTAATTACAAAGAGTGGGGAAAACGTACCTGAATACCGGAGTTGCGAGCATAGCTTGTTTTCCCTTGACCTTGATTCATACTCTATACACCACCTGTTTGGAGGTCATGGCTTTTCTTGGAGCAGAGCTAAACTCCAGATCTTGGATATGCAGGAACCAGATCAGCATGGCAATGCTCAAAACGCACTGGAAGTTCAATACTCCCTCCGTCCCAAAATTTTTGTCTTAAATTTGTCTAAATACGGATGTATCAAGTCACATTTTTGTTAGAATTGTGTCAAATATTATTGTACAAAGTAGGTTACAGTTAGACTTGGTTTTGGACTGTATGTAGACAGGGTAGGAGTTGTGTCCTAATTGGACACCTATATCCTAGGCCTCTCATATATATCGGGATAGACACACGATGTAACCTATGCCAACATAATAGCATAGGCACACGGGGGTGCCGGCGGCATGTGCCGGTGCCCGGGCGGCCGGGGTGCGGTATTGTGACGGTGTCATGGGGAGGAGCGCCCGTAGTCATGCCCCGGGGATGTAGCCATATCGATGAACCTCGTTAACAAATCTCGGTGTAGTGCCTCGTGTGATTGTTTGGTCCTCGATAGATCGACGGAGTGCCTTGGATTATTCTAACAAGTGGTATCATGAGCAATGTTCGATTCGAAGGCTGGAGATGTTGATTTAGAGGTAGAGCAGAATTTTTCGAATCGATCGGTGGTCGAGATCTGTGACTGGAGAAGATCGATGGTAGCGGCGGGAGTTCTGTTGGTGTCGGAAGCAATCGGTGAAGCACGCAAACGTAGGAGTCCTGCGCCTGAGCGGCGGCACTTCGCTAGGGCAGGCGCGTGGCCGGGCGGCAGCATGGCCCAGTGGGGTGCTCGCGGGTGGTTTTGGTCGAGCCAGACCGAGCAGGCAGCGCGGAAGGTGGGCCAGCAGCCGAGGCGGCAATGCTTCAGCGGCGGCAGCAGCCGGGAGTCGACGAGATCGGCTCGATCTGATCGAAGGTTGCGGCTGCGCGAGCGAGAGACAACGGAGCAGCGACAACGCCAGGTTAGGGCAACGCAGGAGCCAGCAGGTGCTGTCAGGTGGCCAGGACTAGGCGCGGGCGGTGGCATAGCAGGTGGCCCATGACTGGGCTGCACTGGTTTCGAGCTGGCAATGCCAATGTTAGGCTGCTCGAGCTGAGACTTGTGCATGGCCAGGTTCGATGTGTGGCTTGGGGAGCTGCAGGGTGTTGTCGTGCGTTGCGGGCATGTGGCCGGAGGGCAACCGGGTCGCAAGCTGGAGAGCTGCAGGAGGCTGTACGTATGTGTGCATGAGATTTGTTGAAAAAACTATCGGTTCCCAAGAAGTGCTGAAACGTGTTTGGAATATGGGATCCATTGGCTGCCATCACATTGATCTCACGTGTGAACAAGATAAAAGAGCAAGAGAATAAGAATTGGTCAAGGAAGTCCACGTGCTGCTATGGTTGTAATAAAGTTGATTGAACTGGTTGTTACACGTGCACAGATACTGCCGAGGGCTATTTCTGGAGTTCTTTGCCTGTTACGTTGAGATGGCAGATTGGCAGCAATGGTGTTGTTCAACAACGCAGTCAGACGCGAAGGTGCGTTGCACAAACAGGATCATGCAAACACAGGGCGTCAATCAATGCACAGATGTGCGGGGCGGAGACGACGCAGGATGGAGCATGGTTGCAGTCGAACATACACGGCTGGGTCGGACAGGACTGTCTGACGGATCGACGAGGATGTCGGTCAAAGCAGAAGACGGCGGTGATTTCAGCGATGACGACATAGGAGCGTGATGCTGATGGTGGCCGACTTCTGGGGCGTGGAAACACGTGGTGCAGGCCTAAGGGCTTGTGCGGCTTCGACAAGACTATGGCGCAGGGTTGATTCAAGGCAGTGCACACATGAGAGTTTGAAATCGACGGAGCGCGGGGGGCAGCATAGCGCAGCTACATGGAGTCATGTTGAAGGTGGAGCTGGAGTCTGATGGATGACTATGCTCTGTGCTGATGCAGGGGCTACGATGTAAGATATCGGAGAATCGAAGCCTATTTCAGCGGGACACGTGGATCGGACTGGGCACCAGTGGTCTGATGGAGGCGTGATACTCGGCATCGGTCGGTGATGATCGGTGGTTCTCTGCAGTAGGGGTTAGAGTGGTGTGGGTCCGCGGCCCTAGAGACTCGACCAGGACAGCAGAGGCTCGACGCGGTGATAGCGGCAAGGCGTGCGGTAAGCACGGGACACAGCGACAGACCAAGGCACTGGTGGTCAGACATGTGGTCAGACAAAGTGTGCAAGGGTGCTGAAGCAGTGTTGACGAGTACCAGATTCAAGTTGGTGACTGGGTCTATCGGTGCTAGTTGATGGACAAGAGTTGACCGTGGAGAATCTGAGAAACTGGCGGAAAGTCTAAAATTGTCAAAAGCTGAGAGAGTACATGGCCGTATATTCTATGGTGTTCAGTGTACATGGAAAAGTGCGGATGACAAATACAGAAGGAGGCGGAGTGCTATAGCTGTGAGACATGTCAGAGACTATCCAAAAAAAGGGTGAGACAACTGTGAATTTGACTCAGGGTGACACAAGGCGACGGTGAAATTCCTTCAAGTTTCAGATAGACGGTCAAGAAAGAGCGGTGGCATTGAGTTCAGGTAACTCTTATATGTGGCGTCCAATATGCGAGTTGTTCCATTTTCACGCAGACAGTGATCGGTGTGTGATGGTGTTGAACGGATTCTTCGAAAGTTGGGAGCACAAAATAGAGTAATGAGGAACTTAATTTTGCTCGAGGGTTGACTGTGAAGAAGACGAGAAGGGACTACAGTTGCAGGTGGAGTCACATGGAGTCTGGGAGTAGCAGCGGTGCTCATGGTGTATCTCAAGTCCAATGTACATGGAGATTCGACGCACGGACGAATTCAAGATGATGGAGAATATTCGTCAAGGTGGAGTTTGTTAGAGTTGTGTCGAATATTATTGTACAAGGTAGGTTACAGTTGGACTTGGTTTTGGACTGTGTGTAGACAGGGTAGGAGTTGTGTCCTAATTGGACACCTGTATCCTAGGCCTCTCATATATATCGGGGTAGACACACGATGTAACCTATGCCAACATAATATCACAGGCACGCGGGGGTGCCTGCGGCATGTGCCGGTGCCCGGGCGGCCGGGGTGCGGTATTGTGACGGTGTCATGGGGAGGAACGCCCATAGTCATGCCCCGGGATGTAGCCATATCAGTGAACCTCATTAACAAATCTCGGTGTCGTGCCTCGTGTGATTGCTTGGTCCTCGATAGATCGATGGAGTGCCTCGGATTATTATAACAATTTTAGTATTAGATACATCCGTATCTAAACAAATCTAAGACAAGAATTTTGGGACGGAGGGAGTATTTGTTTTTTTAGGCTTCTAGCTGGTTATCGAGGCAATCACTGGACCAGCCAATGGAAAGGCTGAAAGGTTGGTCCAGTTCAAATAAGGATATAATAACTAACAGCCTGTCACTAGCATTGGCACTATCTGCTTTAGATTGGCAGAGTTTGTTAAGCTGGTATGTTTAAACTGTTCAGCACGGGATCCAGTGACAAAACCAATAGTAATAACATATCACTGTCAGAGGTAACATTTGTTTTAGAGATTAGCAGACTTGCTGTTCTGATGTGGCTAACTCGCTAAGCGTGAGATCCAATGGGAAAAAACAAACATTTCACACATTTAATAACTAATCAAACATTATCATGTATCCGGTAGCCAAAACCTTGCAACTAATGCATTTACATCAAGCAAAAAAATACTGAACTAGCATTCGGCCTTCGAATAGGAATGCGCCCCAAGGAAAATAAATGGCAAAATGTCATGACAAAACTTGGAAATTTTTTGAGGATGACGTCGAAGTTCTGCTGAAATTTAGGACGTAACCCTTGGGCGTCATCCTCGGTTGCATTGTGGGATGAAAATAGAAAAGACAAATACTTGGCTAAAACAGTGAAAAGATTATTTGAGCAAGTCGATTCTTTTTCTTAAAGCAAAAATAAACAAGCCAACTAGACGTAAGTGCATACTACTTCCTCCCCCCTCCTCTATTTCTCCCATCCTCCCAGCTTGGTATCGCCATGGACGTCAGCCACTACCCAGTCCAGAGATGGCTTGGTGAAAGATTTTGATTACCTGAGAAGCATCTTCACGTTTTTACACTCTGGCATTTGCTCAAGCACTATGAGGGCATTGCCGAACCGGTCGTTCGCCCAACGCTGATCCTGATCACCATGCAGGACTGCAGTGTAGTAGCTGGGCTGATGGAACAGAGTAAGGAGCATGATTAAGGACAGAAATTAAGAATACAGTGACAGTCACGGACCTGAATAACTGAAAGCTAGAATAATGTCGCGGCATGAACATGTACTTGGACAAACAAGTCATGCATTTTTACAATATATAAAATAGTATTATTCAAATAACAGAATAATAGAAATGTGTAAAATCCATAAACATAGAGGAGAAGCAATCCATAAACATGGAGTTGCCTTCTAAACAAGTTGCCTTCTAAAAGGTTGGTAGACCGGCCACCAACTCACCGTCCTGGATAACAAACCAAAGGAAACTGTTAACAATTTGCCTTAAAGAAATTACTGGTTCAATCTCATCAAATGTGGCATACCTTTGGGAAAGCAAGCAGTCACACCACCGGCCACGGTCATCAATTCATCGTGCCTTGGCGACCGACAGAGTCAGCATAGCTAATCCGGCATGCTCTTCCTGCAGCAAGCTTCTGTCCAGGCCCCAGCGCCGCTCCGCGATCCTCACGAATTCGTCCATCACATCTCCAAAATGCTGCACGACTATCTGTTCATACACGGCCCTTATCTGGTTGGCGATCCAGCTTGGGGTGACGAGCGTGTTGTCCAAGCCGCTTAAAAAGTCATGCACCAGAATCTCCTTGATCGAAAAGGACCCCTCTTCTTGGATGACCTCCCTTATATCTTCCTTCGAAGGCCCATAGACTGGCACATAGAAGGAATCAAACTTTGCCTTGTCGATTACACCCTGTCGATCATCACGAAAGATCAATTACTTGTGCCTTCGTCCGCAAATGATAAAATTCTATGCTAAAAACTAAGAATTTGTACCTCTGAGGCCATAAGGCTTAGAACCTGAGCAAGAATGTCCCAGATGTGAAAGTGCGCAATGCCATCAGAATGCCTCCCTATAATAGAAACAACCATCTGTCCTCCCGGGACTAATTCTTTGGCTCTCAGCTCCAGGAAATGTCTGAAGTCCTTCCTAAACTGTTGTTCATATGCCCCAAGGACCATAGGGAGCTTCTCACGCCTAGCATGCTCATCAATGTAGTAAGCCGGGATCTGGTTCCTCGTTAGAACTTCAGGAGCCTGTGAAGATAAAGGTTTTGTTTACAGAATTGGCAAGTTAATACAATGGATCGATTCATCGAGCAGTGTCAAACTCACACCTTTGACAGCCAGTGCAGGCTACTGGACGAGCACACAAGATGCACGGAGCTACTAGTGAAGAGTCTCTCGTAGAACGACCCTGGTGCAATACCCGTCACGACAACAGGCCCGTCGCATCGACGGAGCGTGACGAGGCTCTTCACCACCGTGTTGAAGTCATTGTCAGGCAGGTCGTTGAGGAACACACACAGTTCCGGTGGTGGCTGCTGCAACTGAAGACAGTAATCATGGATCGCCTCGACAGCGACCGACACCAGTGCTAGCGCGTTTGGGCCAGAGGAACAGCCCAAGTCCGCGATCACCATCTTGTCAGGTAATAAGGTGGTGCTGCTGCTGCATAAATTTATGATGGCTCTTTCTATCAGGAGCTTCATCCTGTTCTGCTGAGCGTTCTGCAGTTGATTTGAACTTCTTCAGAAAATCTAGTATAATCTTTCAGCTTCTTAGCTTCCTAA